GATAAGTATATAATATAAATTGAGATAAACTGATAAAGTATAATAAAAGTAGATGAACAACAAACCTGTTAAGCCATTGGTAACACACACGTGGAACTGAAGCGTTTGCTAGACAAAGTAATGTTACCTTAAGTTACTTCAGTCCCTCACTATTTGATACACAGTCCAACGTTTACCCTATCCATTAAGTATATGCATAGCATCAAATGCTTTTAATTCTTTTTAAGTGTCAAACTCATGAGAGACAGAAAGATAACTAAATGTAATGCAAGATCCTAGATCAGAGAAAGAACTTTACTGAAGAAACTGATGGGATGTGAATAACTCAAGTTAGCTTCCTGGTTTTGATCATTGCACCATGGTTATATACAATCTTAACATTAGGACAAACAGAATAGATAGTATAATACAGGATTTCTGTATGTATTACTATTGCAGTTTGCCTATAGATACAAAGTTAAAAGCTAGGGGCATGGCTCAAGTGTCGAGCCCAGCCTAGCAAGCACAAGGCCTTGAATTCAACCCCAGTACAACCAAAGAATCAAAGACAATAAAATAAAATTGATTTTTTTAAAAGGCTATTTTAACAGTAGAAAAGCAAGTACTAGAACCCTTTCCTTATGTGGCAACTATTTATTGCGTACCTACTGTCTGCCAGGAGTGGGCATAGAAAATAGAATGATAGCCAGGTGCCAGTGCCTCACGCCTGTAATCCCAGCTACTCAGGAGGCAGAGATTAAGAGGATCTCAGTTTAAAGCCAGCCCAGGCAAATAATTCACGAGACCCTATCTGGAGAATACTCAGTACAAAAAGGGGGACGGGGGCTGGTGGAGTGGCACAAGAGTAGAGCAACTGCCTAGCAAGTATGAGGCCCTGAGTTCAAACTCCAGTACCGCACAAAAACAAAAGGAAGGAAGGAAGAAAATAGAATGGCAAATAAACAGAAATGTGGAGATTAACATTGCACATGCTGAGGCATGAAGATGAGTTACTGGACAGATAAATACGGTAACAGAAAGTGCTTCCTGAGAAAGGAATCACAGACCTCCTGGTCTGTGATGTCAGACTCTTTTCTGATTTAAGTTGAGTCCTGGGAGGGGAAAGAATAAATGCCTTAAAGATATTTTCAAATTGAATATGGAAAACATTGTGTACAGTATGTAACATTCTGACATGTTCCCTGTCCCCTAGAGGATTTTGTGGGATTCACAATGTATATTACATACAGAAATCTCTAAGATTTGTAGCAAAGACACCTATTTCACTTTGTTGAACCCAGCATTTTCCAAACTTGAAGTGACCCCCCCCCACCTTTTTTTTTTTTTTTTGACAGTACTCAAGTCTTGCTAGAATGCTTGCTGAGCAGGCATTCTACCACTTGAGCTACTTCTCCAGCCCTTTTTTGTGTTGAGTATTTCTGAGATAGGGTCTTGTGAACTATTTGCCCCGGCTGGCTTCCAACCACGATCCTCCCTGTCTCAGCATCATGAATAAATAGGAGTATAGACATGAGTCACCAGTGCTGGGCTGATTTGGCCCCTTTTTGTGAATAACAGGCTATTTAACACACTTGGGACAAACTTGTACTGGGGAATGTATAGAGTCATTTTCAGTTCATACACAGGAAAGAGAAGCCCTGTTCTGCCTAACTTGATAACGTGGTTTTTGTTGTAAAATACGCGTGTTTGAGGTGATTGCATTTGAAACTTAAGGGAATGTTTATTCACTTCTGCCTGGTTCTTCTGATGCTGGGACTTCTTCAGCGCTCATGTGTGGAGAAATAACTCAGTTCCTAATATACTTATAAATTACTACCGAAAAGTAATTCACCTCTTAGTGAGTTGACTGTGAGATGTCACATTGGTGTCATGTCTTGGCAGTGAATGGTTTCCTTATCTAACAGATCATTCTACTGGAATTGCAGCTTTCTCTTTAAAAAAAAAAAAATTTGTGGCCAAGCATGACGATTATACCTGTAATCCTAACACTCAGGAGGATCCTGAGTTGGAGGCCAGTCTGGGCTTCATGGTGATACCTTGTCCCAAAAAAAAAAAATGCATCTCAGCAATGACTTCTCTATTTTCATCACTAGCTTTTTTAGAACAATTTTTCAGAGAAACTTTTATAAACAGAAAAAAACAAAATCTTACGTGATTATTAGCAAATCAGTACATTTCACTCAGTGGTTGAAATGCCTGTTTTCCCCCTCTTTTTTAAGGAAAAAGAAAAAAGAAAAACTTTCTGAAGTCTTCCAACGAGGCAAGAACTACTGTGTTTTCTGTTCTAGGAAGAAGAAGGGAAAAGACTGGCAAAATGTCTTTTGGTTGATCTATTTGTGAGTCTCGGTTTTGTAGGATGGACATGTGAATGAAGAATTCTAAAAGTGCTTGTTGATCTTTGTTTTGTTTTTGGCAGAACTAGGGTTTGAACTCAGGGCCTCATGCTTACTTGGCAGGCACTCTACCACTTGAGCCACTCTGCCAGCCCATTGTTGACTATTGCAAAGCACGTCACACCTTACCATGTGCTGAATGAACAGTTTGTATTCCTCTTTACAAACTCCATAGCCCTTAGGAGAAAAACACTTTGAATTTCTTCTTCCAGCTGTGGAACATCTCATTATAAGATATCTGTCAAGAGATAAATTTGGGTGTTGTAGCAAAGTCTCTACATAAATGATTGATGCCTTTAAAGGAGGGAAAAAGTAAAAGTCACATTCAGGAATCCCACTCTCAACTCTGCAAACACAAGGCAAGATTCTAAGAGTGGCTGTCACTGGGGAGCAGAAATCCTCCTTGTGGACAACATTGGCTCCTGAGGTTCTCATTAGATATTTAACACCTCAGAGTGGCTGTCATCCATATGGCAAATGGATACTGGAAAATCATCTTTCCAGGATTGACAAGGTTACTGAAGCTGCTAGGACAGGTCCATCTCCAGCAACAGATGCTATGATAAAAGAGAACAAAGTTTTTGTGATATCACAATGTAGAAAGTACAAGGTATGGTTGTCCAGTGGGGGGGGCTGAATACAGACAGGCTAAGCCCACCTTACTTGTGGATTTATTACAGCTATTTTGACCAAAAACAGTCAAAAATTAATAAATTTTTGAAAATCAAAAGAAACTTCAAAGCTGAATAAAAAATCCGCTTAGTGGCTCACACCTGTAATCCTAGCTACTCAGGAGACAGAGATTAGAAGGATCAAAGTTTGAAGCCAGCCCTGGCATATAGTTCATAAGACCCTATTTCAATAAAACCTATCACAAAGAAGGGCTGGTGGAGTGGCTCAAGTGGTAGAGCACCTGCCTTACAAGTATGAGGCCCTGAGTTCAAACCCCAGTACCACAGAAAGAAAAGGAAGGGGAGGGAAGGGAGCAGGGAGGGAGGTAAACTTCAAAAACAAAAAAAAATTTAATTCCCATACACACCTTGTGCCTCTCAGTGGGAGAAACTCTCAATCAGTCCTGCGTTACATCAGTTCTGTTTAAATTGTATAATCTGCTGAGGGTCTCCCTGTCCTTAATTTTGTGAAAATATGCCTCCCAAAAAGCATGGTAAAGTGTTTAAGTGATAAAGTGAAAATTTTAGAGTTGTTGAAAGGCAACATTGTCTTTAGCCGGTGTTCGGTGGCATGATGGGAAAAATGAATCAGACATCCCTCAAGATTAACAAGTATGAAATAAGATCCAGTTTTTGTGAGCAGTATTCATGTGTACAACAGTCATTTTGTGACTGCATGCAGAGGAGTTATGGATGCTTGGACCTATAGGTAACTTGGAATCGTTTTAGGGTACTGAACTCCAGGTATCCCGATTATGGGTGGTTTTTCCTCCACGGGAGGCTCCTTGGTACCAAGAATCTACTACTCTCAAAAAGGAAGTGAGCGTTCTAAAACAGAAGAGTGCAGTCTCCTTTGTATGAAGGATCAGCTGAGAGTGGAGCAGAAGCAGATCTCCTGAGGCTGACTTTTGGGTGGATTTGAACCTTTGTGGGGATAAAGAATAAGATTAAACCCACTACACATGGTCTCCCCATCTTCTTATCTCAGTCCTTCACATCTACACTTAGAATCACTTAGAGTGTAGAATTTAGAATGTCGTTGCCCAATCCTGGCACAGGCCACTAAATCCAACACTCTGAGAGCAGAAACTTAGCATTGACATTTTTTCTTTAAGTTTTTATTGGTTTTTGCTTTTGATTCTTTATCTCTTTATTTACTTTTATTAACATACATCATTTGTATAAAGGGGTTTCATCGTAATACTTCAACACATGCATACGATGTACCTCAAGTTCACTTCCTCTATTCCTCTCCCTTGTTCCCCCTTTTTTTCTTTTTTTGCCCCACTGCTTAAAACGATTTCCATAGGTTTTACTGTTCTGTCTTCATACATGTGTATAAAGTACTTCAACCATGTTCACCCTCCTTCATCCTCTCCTTTTACTTCCCCCTTCCTGCTAGAACCCATAAATACAACCTGCTTTACTTTCCTGTCATTCTTTTTTAAGGACTAGACTCCGAATCTAATTTTCCTGAAAACAACATTCTTCTTTGTGGCTGAATAATACTCCATTGTGTATATATATCCCACATTTTCTTTATCTGTTCATTGGTTGATGAGCAACCAGACTGATCCCGTATTTTGCCTGTTGTCAGTAGCGCTGCTGTAAACATGAGTGCACAGGTGTCCCCGCTGTATGTTGACTTACATTCCTTTGGATATATTTGGCATCTTTTGTAATTCCCCACATGTGTAACCAGGACTGGAAACCACTGAGCTTCCCATGATGCAACAGTGGGTTTGTGCCACAGAATTGACACAAAATTCAGTTGTACACAATTAAGTCACAGTTAAGTCATCCATCCTTTAAACTGTGTCTTTAAGGCCTTCTTCGTAAACTAGCTACTGTACCAACACAAAGGGAAAGCGCCAAGATTTAAATTTAGCTTTAATCTGGGTTATTAACAGCCTGCACCTTTTCTCTTTTCCCAGGTATGCCCTCTTGGAATGCTGTACTTTCATAGGAAGAGACGATGGAGGAGAAAGAAGTGAATGATGGATCACAGGTAGCCAGATCCCTGGTAAGCTCACTTTTCCTCTCCTCTACAGTGCTGCCATAGTGCTCAGAATATGGGCAGGTCTTAATCTTTCAGTTCTCAAGTATTGAGTCCCCCAAATCCAGAGCCCAGGAGACTCTTGTAACATATGATACAACTTCTCTGTGATGTGTCCCATTTTCCTTACACACCTCTTTATAACTCGTTCTCTCTCATTTTCATGGACGTAGATCTGTGCTACATGTTGTGAAGCAAACAAAACAGTTAAGTGTCTTCTAATCAGCCTTTACTAAACAGCTTACCATAATTTAAACACTTGATGTATCTCTCTGTAAAACAGTGAATGATGCTCAGGTCACTGTGACTTCTTGGTTTGAGGTAATAGGGTCATTCAATATGCCTGGGAATATCTACTACCATGAGTTAATCAAGAAACTGTTGAGTTGGCAGAGTGGCTCAAAACATAGAGTGCCTGCCTAGCAAGCGTGAGGCCCTGAGTTCAAAGAAACTGTTGAACCTTGGGGTGAATTTGACGATGATATATTATAAGAACTTTTATAAATGTCACAATGTACCCTAGTACAACAATAATATGATAATAAAAAAAGAAACTATTGAACCTTTCCCGAAACCTGCTTAAGTCTGTTGTTAATGATTCTATAATTTGACTAGTATTTATCAACAGATGACATTGACTGCTAAAAGGAGTCAATGAAAGCTAGTCAAATGCTTCAGAAAAACTCAGCAAATGCTTTTCACTTTTTAAAAAATTGCTGTCATTATAGAGGGGGTGAGTAAAAACTTGCCATCAAATTAGGCAATTAGTGTGAGCAACATGGGATAAAAGCTGTCAGAGGTTTCTGCACATGTATTACTTGCCAAGGGTCGTTTGCTTTTTCTACTTAAACAGAAACTGGTGCATTATAAATACTGACACGCAGTGGTCAAAACCACTGTCATAGAAGAGGCTTAGTTTCACTTCAAAGAATGAAAGGATGGTGGACATTTGCATTGAAGTTAAAAGCTGAAGATATCTTTTATGGGACTGGGGGTAGAGCACCTGCCTAAAAAGTGAGAGTCCAAATCCCAGTACTGCCAAAAAGAAAGAAAGAAAGGAAAAGAAAAATGAATAATTGACCTGGCACAGTGGCTCAGGCCTACTCAGGAGGCGGAAATTGATCAAAAGGGCCTTGGCTAGCCTGATCAAAAAGTTTGTGAGAACCCCATCTCAACTAATAAAAGCTGGGTATGGTGGTGCACACCTATCATACCAGCTACATGGGAAATAGAAATAGGAAGATCTTGGTCCAGGTCGGCCTGGGCATAAAATGAGACCCTATTACGAAAAAAGCTGAAGCAAAAAGAGCTGGCGACGTGGCTCAAGTGGTTGTGTCTAGCAAGCTCAAGGCCCTGAGAGCAACCCCAGTACTGCCGTGTGTCTATACTTTAATCAAAAGTATCTGCATGGCAAAAGAAAACTATAAGCAAAGTAAAAAGACATGTCCAGTTGACAGAAATAAATCGCCACTCAAATCACAGTGGGCTAATCCTTCTGATGTACAGAACACTTCCCTAAACCAGTTGGGAGGTTAGGAATCCAAAAGAAAACTGCACAAAAACATCAAAAGAAAATGCACAGGGAGGAATATTCAAACACATCTTAAACACAGGAAAAATGTTCATCTCTACTCAGGACAGTACATTTAAATTAAAATGTACATGTTAGAGCATGTCTGAAGTCTTATCACAAAGCTTGACACTTCTGCCACAGATCTGCTATTTGTCACAAGTGTGGTAACATACTGTCTTGCCAAAGCTGAGGGAAGTCACTCTCTTACACTGCTGACCTGTGGCCATGCGGCAGATGGCATTTCCAGAAAAATGGACAAAATATCGCCTGTCCCAGATACTCTCTTCACAATGTGACTTTGGCACTCATCCCATCCTAGACATGAAGGTCTGTTTTCTCTCCACTGGGCACGAGAAAGCCCCTGGCTGGAGAAAGCTATGTGACTTTCAAAGCAGATCATGTAAGGTGCCAGAACTTCTTCCTCTTCTTCTTGGGATGCTCGCCGTAAAGCCAGCCACCCTTGAGAAGTCCAGGTGGGGAGGAGCCAAGGCCCACAGCAACTACTAACCTCTTATCTGGGAGCCAGCATCAACTTGCCAGCCATGTAAGTGAACCGTCTTCACAGTGGATCCTCCATCCCCTGGTGGTGATATCAAAGACGTGTGGGTGCATCTTTTGTGTAGTGTGGCCTGATTAAAAATTGATAAATAAAAAGTCAAATTTTATCATCTTAAATAGAAATAGAGATGATGTAAAATGAAGAGAGAAGCCAGGCATGGTGCTATAATCCCAGCTACTCAGGAGGCAGAGATTGGAAGGATCATGGCTTGAGGCCAGCCTGATCAAAAAGTCAGCAAGACCACCATCTCAACAAAAAAACTGAGTGTGGTGGTCCATTTTGTAATTCCAGTTACATGGGAGGCATAGGTTGGAGGATCAGTGGTCTAAAGATGGCCCCAGGCGAAAAGCAAGACCCTATGTGAAAAGTAACCTAAAGTAAAAAGGGGTGGGAATGTGGCCTAAGTGGTAGAGTAGCTGCCTAGCAAGTATAAGGTCCTGAGTTCAAACCCCAGTAACACACACACACATACACATACAAATAAATAAAAAATAACAACAGAAGACCTTAGACCACCAAACTGCAGTGGGCAGAAAGCAGGCTGAGCAAACACAGGCTGCTTTTTTTGTGGAAAAGTGAAGATGACTGAGAGGAAAGAACCAAAAGGCAGCTCCTAAAGGCAGAGCCAAGAAACAGCTGCCCTTCAGGACCACTGTGGGCTGCTGTCTGCTGGAACAAGACACCTTCCCACGCTGTAGGTTTGTAAGCAATGAGAGGGGGTCAACTAACTGTTTCTTGGCTCACAGATCAATAGACAGAAAGCTCTGAAGAAGCCACACCCAAAAGAACTTCACTCAGCTGACACAGGTGATTTTGAGCTGATGCTAAATGGAGTGAAACTTGGGGGTCTTGGGTGTTACCCTTTTGTTTCTAACCTACTGGAATATTCTCTCTCCTTCTCTGCTCAGTGCATAAAAATCCGTTGAGGATTTACACCTATTTTCACAGTTTCAAAGAATCCTAAATTCTTTCATTGTTGAGATGAGTTCCTAATGTATTTTTTAATTGTATTTATGAGACAAAGTCACTCTCCTGCAGTAAATTATCAAAAGTCTGAATGCAAGGAGTATTTCATTTGAGGAGGTAAGCTGGGGAGATGGGGTCTTGCTAGATTTTTCAGGTTTTCCTTAACCTCCAACTCCTCATGCCTCATGTTCCTGAATAGCTGGGATTACAGGTGCATGCCATGAACCCAGCTCATGCATATTTTTACATGTCAGGAAAGGTGACAGACAGGTATTGTTTCAAAAGGTATGACCTGGGACAGGAGGGTGACTCAAATGATAAGAGTGTTTGGCTTGCATTCAGCCCCCAGTACCATAAAAAAGGCGGGGGGGAGGGATCAAAAGATTTGGCCTGTAAAGGGTGTAGGAGGATGAATGTGGTAGAAATATTATGTACTCGTGTATGAAAATGGACAGTTGAGACCTGCTGAAACTATTCCAGGAATGGGGGGAAGGGGATAAAGGAAATGATGGAGGGGTAAATACAACTATGATACATTGTAAGAACTTTTGTAAATGTCACAAGGCACTCTCAGTACAAAGTAATATGATAAAAATGTAAAAAAAAAAAAAAAAGCTTGTCTGGATTACACAGAGTCCTGAAGTCTCTCTGTACATGCTTAGACACCCTGGCCTTTTTCTAGAGTTGCTCCTTCCACCCCTTCTCCCCAGGGCCCCTGCAAGAGGTTTCTGGCTAAGCAGTGATGTGCTGGATATTTCAGGAGTCACTGACATTCCAGGACGTGACCGTGGACTTCACCAGAGATGAGTGGGAACAGCTGTACCCTGCTCAGAAGAACCTCTACCGAGACGTGATGCTGGAGAACTACAGGAACCTAGTGGCACTGGGTAAGGGGGTGCCCTGCATGGCTGGAACCTTCCCAGCAGGTTTACTTGTGCGGATGGAGTGCAGACCGTATGGGAGAATGCTGAGTGGTTTTGGAGACAGAGACCTTTGTCTGCTGTCCTTTCTCCTCAAGTAAAAGGTCTTGGCTTGCTGAGTTGGAGGTGGATAGCTTTATTTTGCTGCCTGTGCAGCCTCCTACCCCCAATTCAGAGGCTTAACAATTAAAAAATTTGAAGTGGGTTCTGAAAGAGATTTTGATTACAGTACAAATCCTCAGACAACATATTTCTCTTGTGAATAGGGCATCAGCTTTACAAACCAGAGGTAATTACTCAGTTGGAGCAAGAGGAGCAGTGGACAACAAAAGAGACAGCCCACTGGACGCTCATCCAGGTGAGAAGCAAGCGCTTGGGCATGGCTATTCAGTGGGAGAAACAACCACTTTTGAAATACTAAATGCCCTGTGTTCAAATTCTCCCTCTGAGATTGAAAAAATACTGAGGCCCTTGAAAACATTCAGTTTTCTGATTGAACAGAAACTATATATTTATTATGAAAAAAGTTTGCACAGTACAAAAGTTATTTTTGCAAGTATCGATTTGAACGTCCAGAAATACTTAATGTAGGGCTGGGGTGCAGCTCAAGCAGTAGGGCACCTGCCTAGAAAGTGTGAGGCATTGAGTTCAGACCCCAGCAGCACACACACAAACACACACATACACACACAAAGAAGTAAATACTTAGTGTTACTTAACTCTACATAGCATTTTGTCTGTATTTTTGTTCATATATCCTTTCAGCATTTGCTAAATCTCTCTTGTGCTTATCAAAAATCTGCTATATTTACCTATTATTTGCTTTTTCTTTTATCTTCAGACTCTTTTGACTTACTGTCTATACCTGTACCTTCATTTCTAATTCCCCTGCTCCTGTGTGATATGGTCCCCATCCTGCCTGTGCTGAAAATGCTCACTTGGAGATTGTTCCTAACTTCCTTCCCATGAAAAAGCCTTTTACTGTGTTGACTGCACCATCTTGAAATTCTCCTCCCCTGGCTGTGTGTGGCGCACCCTGTTCTTGCCTCCTGCAGCTCGCCTCACTTTCCCTACTCACTGGCTGCCTTTCTTCCTCCTTTTTCTCTCGAAGGCCTGGGTTTATATGGACTTGCTGTTCCACCCTGCAGCATGCTGCTTTTAAATAGTCCTTAAACATCGTCCTGTTTGTACATTTCTGGCCTTCATATTTCACCCTCAGTCTTCTTTCAGATTTTAAATATAGTTTTGTTTACTAATGCTATGCTGTCATTTAATTAAATATTTCAAACCTAGTCTGATGACTTTATACTCTGTTGAGGTGGTTTTTTTTGTTTTTGTTTTTTCCCCTGTTTTGGAGATGGTCTCACTATGTGGTCCAGGCTGGCCTTGAATTCTCAGTCCTCCTACTTCTGTCTCCCAAGTGCTGGGATTACAGGCATGCATCCTCACTCACACTTGGCTGTACTCTCTTCTTTCAGGCATCCCCTTAAATGTGGGATTTCTTGACAAATGATAATAATGGTGGTAATAATCTTAGTTCCTTATTGCTGGAATACCACCTATGATGTCTGCTGTTCATTTTAGCAAAGACTTGACTGCTGCCTGAATCCCAGATCAGATGCTGATTTAGGCATTTTCTATTCTGGTTCTTTAAACCAGTCTCACTACCCTATTTCTATCTTGTTCCCACTCCCATTCTTCGCTTTGATACCTGGTTTCATCATTTGGAGTCTGTCATTCAAACTTCAGCTCTTTCAAATTGACTTTGACTTGGCTGTCCTTCTTGCTTTTATTTCTTTGTTTTCCTGTTTTTGAGACAGGGTCTGGCCCAGGCTGACCTCCAACTTGTGATCCTTTTGCAACAGTCTCCGAGTCTGGGGCCTCAGCCTACAAGTTCCAAGTCTGGGGAACTTGTGCCACTACACCCAACTTTCTTCCTTGCCGTTAGTACTCTAGGTTATCTTAAGTAAGAAACTTCATTCCTATTTTACTTCACTGAGAAACAGAATTTGAGCCTGATCATTACTCCCATCTGTGAATCTCTCGTGTCCTGCATGAGCTTGTCCTAGAAACCTAACTGAAGGTGATGGGAGATTCCGGAAAAGACAACAGACAGAAAACCAAACATGCATAAAGCTGGGGCCAGGGAGGCTGGGCGCTCGGACAGAGACACACCAGCCCTCTCTACCTCCAGGGAGTTTATTATATACAGTGGCAACACAAAGCGGAGAGGCATTTCTCGGGGAGGGGGGTGTGACACGGTGATCCTCGGGAACAGGAGAAACCTGTGAGAGCTTCTCTCCAAACGTGAACATTAAAGGAAAAAACAGCTATACTGCATCTTGCCTACTTCTGCAGCTGAGGCTGTGCCAATCCAAGTGTGCAGTTTTACTGGGCATAACCATACTTGCTCCCTTCTGTGGTTTGGGGCTGTGCCAAACTCAAACATGCAGCTTATTCAATACACCTGTCAGCTCCCAACATGAATCCAGTCTAGTAATTAAGATATTTTGTTTTGGGGTTGTTTTGGTGGTACTGGGGTTTGAACTCAGGGCTTCATGCTTACAAGGCAGGCGCTCTACCATTTGAGTCACTCCTCCAACCCTTTTTGCTCTGGTTGTTCTGGAGATTGAGTCTGGTTTTTGCCCAACCCAGCCTGGACTATAATCCTCCTATTTTATGCTTCCCACTGTCATTGAAATCTGAATATCCACTTTTTCCACTGAAATGGGGTCTCATAGTTGTCTTTTTGCCAGGCTGGTTTGGACCCATAATCCTCCTGTCTCCGCCTCCCATATAGCTTAGAATAACAGGTGCATGTCAGATGGGTTCTTGCAGACTCCCTGCCCGGGCTGGCCTCGAACCACTGTCTTCATGATCTCAGCCTCACAAGTAGCTAGGATTACAGGCACAAGCCACCTTTTTTTTTCCCCCATTCTTTTTAACTTTCTGAAAGAAGTTTGTAAATACACATATATTCTGGACTGGGACTTAGAAATCTGGGTTCTCATTGTCTTCTTCTGTATCCCAGCCCATCTTCACACACCCTTCCTTCTCCTCCCCCCACCTCTCTTTCTGTTTCTTCCCATTAAGTATCCCAGGCCCTTCTGGAGGTTTAATTGTAGCTAAGGTAGACAATACTACCTATTCTGGGGAGAATGCAGGCTAGTAAGGAGATAATGGGGAATAATTAGACAGAGGTTATCCAGTAAGATCAGTGGAAAGATGGAGAAAGAGATAGCTGGTATGAGACTTGGTTAGGCAGGAATTTTGGAGTGGGGTGAAGACTGGAGGAAGCATGGCCAGGTTCCATGAAAAACTTAAGGATAAAGAGGGGAACTCATGCAAAGAGTTTTAGGAAGGTCTGTAAGGAGAAGCAGAGAGGAAAGGTGGTTGGGATGGTGTCTTGATCTGAAACTTGAGAAACAGTAGGGTTGGGAGAGGGTCTTAAGCTGTCAGTATGAGAATAAAATAATGAAACCTGTTAAACATTGTTTTAAAAGGGGGGAGGGCTGGGGGCATGGCTCAAGTAGAGCACCTGCCTAGCAAGCGTGAGGCCCTGAGTTCAAACCCCAGTACTGCCAAAAACTTAAAAAATAAAATAAGGTAAGAAAGAGTACTAGAGGGGTAAATTTAATCAAAGTTCATTGTATATGTGTATAGAAATATCCCAATGAAACCCCTTTGAACAGTTAACATATGCTAATGAAAAAATAAGTTAAAAAAAGAAAGCAGTTGCTTTCCCAGAGAAAGATGTAGGTTGAGATGGCAGAGAATGCTGCTGTTTCTTCTCTCTTGTCTCCATGATTTATGGAGTGGGTTCAGTAACAACGTTGTTAGCAAGAGGAACCGTCTGTAAGAAATCAGTGGATTCCAGACTCTAATTTCACATAGCACAATTTCACAGATTGTCCTTTCCCAAGTCTTGGATCCATAGAATTTCTGCCCACTAAATAATATCATAGCCACCATAAATGGCACATTTTTTAAATTAATAATAGAGAACTGAAAATATAGTGCTTCGCAAGTAGAAATGTCATCTTTTTCCATATTTTGTTTTCCCCCTTTTCCCTCAATTCTCTCCTCCCCTTACTTACTTCCTCCCTTCTTCCTACTTCTTGAACAGTTCAGTTCAAAAGGCACTGTGTGCTGAGTCATGTAAACATCTACTTGGTGAGGTCCACTTTGGTGTGGAAGGCCCCGCAGGATGTCAGGCTTCCCAATAGTGTCACAAAGTGTTCGTAAAAGACCTTCAGGAAGGTGTCTGTTCTTAGATATAAAGGTGGTCATAGGTGCCCTAGAATTGTGATGTTATTAAACACCCACACCCCTAAAGTTGACCCGGGGCTGTGGAGCCAGTGGAACAGATTATGGCCAAGGAAAGTGACCACATCGAGACTACAGTGATCTATGCAGGCACCTACGAGAATAACAGAAGCCTGTTGAACCCTGCTATAAGCTGGAGAGGTGTCACACTCACCTTGTAGGTCATGTTAGCATAGGTTAGAGTGCATGCCATTCCATAAAGTGCTGGGAGAAGAAAGAATATATTATTTTCTTCACTTACTGTCTGTTCTCACTCCTCAGATTGACAACATCAAAATGTTACCACATCTTGTACTGGGAATGATATGGGTAAAATGAGCATATTTCATACTGTTATATGAGTGTAAATTGGTAGTGCCTTATAAGAGAACCATTTGACCAAATCTGTCAAAATATTTAGTATGCCAATCCTTTGACCTGGCATTTCACTGGCTCTGTCTTCTTGAAAGACTAGCTTGAGCCTACCAGATGTTTGCATTGAGTAAAATAGAAAAAAGAAAATTGAAACCTAAAACTTAACATCAGGAAAATAGATTTTTCAGGAATGAAAAAGAAGGAAATAGATCTGTATAAACTCATTCAGAAAGAATATTGTTGGCTCACAACTGTAATCCTAGCTACTCAAGAGACAGAGATTGAAAGGACCAGATTGAGGCCAGTCCTAGCAAAAAGTTAGTGAGACCCCCATCTCAACCAATAAAAGCTGAGTGTACACACCTGTCATCCTAGCTACACAGGAAGTGTAAACAGGACAATCACAGTCCAAGCTGGTGCAGACATAAAACTGAGACCCTTTTAAAAAAATAACTAGAGCAAAAAAGGACTGGGGTGTGGCTCAATTGGTAGAGCACTTGCCTGGCAAGTACAAGTCCCTGAGTACTGCAAAAATAAATAAATAAATACATTGTTTGGTGAAAAGCAAAGTTACATGGGAGACATGTATAGCATCATTCTGTTTTGGTTTCAAAATAAATAAAAACTGTATAATTACATCCAAACACTCATGTGTCTGTGTATTACAAGACTCTTCCTTCAGAATCAACAGAAGATATTTGCACACCAAAAGTAGCTATGGGAACCTTGTCCAACCCATCATGAGGATAAAAAAATGACCTCATGAACCTGTTCGCCTCCACCAGCTAGATCAGGGGAATTGAGGGAGATCTAACAGAGGGCTGGTGGTGTGGCTCAAGAGATAGAGTACTTGCCTGGCATACTTGATGCTGTGGGTTCAATTCTCAGTACTAAATAGAGGGAGGGAAGGGAGCGAGGGAATGGAGGAAGGAAAGGGAGAGGGAAAGGTAATGGTGTAGCTACCCAGCTTCAAGGGGACCATTCAGACAGCTTCAATTTGTTCTCTGTGGTTGCAGGACCCTCACCTGAGATAAATAAAGCAGACTCACCCAGAAAGTCCAAAGCCCAAGGACAGCTGACTACTAAGTGGTCAGTTGTTGAGTAAGGATGGGTCTGCACTGCCTAAGTTTTGCTGGATCCAGATGTCATGAGTGTTTTTCATGAGCCACCAGCATAGTCTTGGATCTTTTCTTTTCTTGAGTCAGGGTCTTGCTATGTGGCCAGGCCTAGAACGCAACTGCTGAATGAATCACACCCAGCTCCTATTGTCTTGGATCATGTTGAGTAGGATTAATGCCCCAAATAAGAATGCATCTGTCTAGATCATGGAGAGAAGGGATCCACCAAGAACCTCCCCAGAGTCATGAAAGTTCCCCAAAGTGAGTCTGTTTTAACCATCTGCAAAGCTTAATGTAACACTACCCAGCCATTCAAAAATTGGCCCATTAACCTCTCCTCCCTTCTCTGCTCCACTCTTTTTTTTTTATTCATTTATTCACATGTACATACATTGTTTGGGTCATTTCTCCCCCTTGACCCCCACCCCTACCTCTTCCCCCCTCTCCCCCTCGCTTCCAGGCAGAACCTGTTCTGCCCTTATCTCTAATTTTGTTGAAGAGAAGATATAAGCATAATAAGAGAGAAAGCGTTTTTGCTAGTTAAGTTAAGAGTAGCTATACAGAGATTCCTAGCATTGCTTCCATGTACAAATGTGTTACAACCCAAGTTGATTCATCTCTAACTGATCTTTACACTTGTTCCTGATCCCCTTCTCGTGTTGACCTCTGTTAAGGTTTCTGTATTAGTTCCTCTGGAGTGGGGACATCAAACGATTTCATGTTTTGGGTTTACTTCCTATCTCCATAACTCCCGTATGTGCACCACTCTTTTTAGAAAAGAACTAACTAAAAGTTAGCAATTGAAGGAAGAGGTAAAGCAAGGAAGTAGTTACATGGGGGAAGACACAAAAATAGAATCAAAAAAAAGACCTAGCAGGGAGAGAGCAGTATGGTGGAAGGGTGGACAGGAAGAGAGTGGAATGGGGGAAGAAGCAGGCAAGGAGAAGGAGTGTCACCTTTCATTACAGGCCCAGAGAAGAGGAAAGGAATTACCTTTGAAATTTTGAGTATTAAATGTGAACATTTGAATTACTAAATAAATACTGTGCTTGTGACCCAATGTGACGTAGCAGTATCTATTACCTAAGAATCAGGAAGAAAGACATGGATCTTGCTCAAATGTTCATGTAGAAACAAGAAGATTATCCCCCCTCTTAAAGAAGTAGTGGGAATCCAAAATGAAATTTTGTTTTTTATCATAATCTGTAAGTGATGCTTGTTCCAAATCTGGTCATCATATTATATTCATATGAACATAGGAAAAATCGGACAAGATAGGTATTAACTATTACAGTTTCTAGGAGGCGGGATTATTTCCTTACACTTTTGCACATGATTTGAATACGTTACTATCAGCAAGTATTGTTGTTATCATTTTAAACAAAAAAATAGGAAGAATACCTCTTTAGCAGTACTAGGTATTGAACCCAAGAACCCATGATAAGCAAGCATCCTACCACTTGAACCATACCCCCAGCCCAAGATATGTTTTTGAATAAGCAGGTAACTGTCATTACAGTAAAATAATCCACAGATGGGGTTTATAAGGGCTTGGACCTGTCTTCTGTAGGAGTCACTCCTCTGACATCCCCACCTCTGAACACAGACCTTGTCTGATGTTTGTTCTCCTGTCCATCTCCTTTTAACCATGCATACTTCTGAACAATCTCCTCTTTCTATGACTACCATAGGTTTTTAATTCTTCTCCCTGCTCACTGTTTCCCATCATCCTCTCATAGTCCTTCCCCTTGTTAGGTGGCCGTATTTGAAAACTTGAATTCTATATATGCCACGCGCACATTACTGTCAGTTTTGTTCAGTTACTCATTATGCAACCAGTTACTTTTCAAAGTCTAGGGAATGTTGGAAAGTATTTATATGTTCTGAATTTCTTCTAGATGGGGAAAACAGACATGAAATCGAAACAACTACAGTAAGCCAGAATGTTTCTGGTGAAAACCAAACCCATGACACAGTAATGAAAAGACTAACCGGAGACAGTTTCTGGTACTCCATCCTAGGAGGACTCTGGGATTTTGATTATCAGTTAGAATTTAACCAAGAAAACCAGAGGAGACATCTGGGACAAGTAGCTTTCACCCACCAGAAGAGGCCACAGGAGAGAGGTACTGAATGTAATAAATTTGAGGAGAACTATAACTTGAACTCAAACCTTACTCTGCATCAGAGAATTCCTCCAATTAAAATACCCTTTCATTATGACACACAAGGAAAGAGCATCAAACACAATTCAGACTTGATTTATTATCCAGGGGACTATGGAAGAGAGACTCCCTATGGATATAACGAGTATGGAAAAATCTCCAGTCGACATATTCTTCTTCCTAGTCATATTCATGCCAGAGAGAAACCCAACGAATGTGGAAAGGCCTTCCACCACAACCCGCCTCTTACCCAACCTCTCATGGTGCTTACAGGAGAGAAACCCTACAAGTGTGATGAATGTGGGAAAAGGTTCAGCCAGCGAATACATCTTATTCAACATGAGAGGATCCACACTGGGGAAAAGCCTTTCACATGCCATGAATGTGGGAAGGCCTTCCGCCAGCATTCGTCCTTTACTCAGCATCTGAGGATTCACACTGGAGAGAAGCCCTATAAGTGTAATCAGTGCGGTAAAGCCTTCAGCCGAATCACGTCTCTTACTGAACACCATAGACTTCACACTGGAGAGAAACCTTACGAATGTAGTTTTTGTGGAAAAGCCTTCAGCCAGAGGACACATCTTAATCAACATGAAAGAACACATACAGGAGAGAAACCCTATAAATGTAATGAATGTGGGAAAGCCTTCAGCCAGAGCGCTCACCTTAATCAACATAGGAAAATCCACACCCGTGAGAAATTATGTGAATATAAATGTGAGAAAATCCTTCCTAAGCCACAGTCCTTCATTTAGTGGCACATAACTTGTGGTGGGGAAATCATGAATTTAGTAATGTGGGAATTTTTTTATTTTCTACTTTTCAGTATCAAATTATTGATAGTAGAGAGAAAGCTTACCAGTAAACTTTTAATGCATAGAAACAAAATAAATTTGTACCTTAAACTAGTAGTGCATTATATTCCCAAAAGGGGTTATAAACAGTAAACATTTATTTTATAAACAAAAATATACTGATCTGTGTTCTAAATCTGATATAAAAATTCTCAAAGAAATGAACAGAGCCAGGCATGGTGGTACATGCCTGTAATCCCAGCATTTGAGAGGCTGAAGCAGGAGGACCAGTTCTAATGACAGCCTGGGCTGCATAGCAAGCCCCTGTCTCAAAAAAAAATTCTTAGACAATCCCTATAATTATTTACTGGTATATATTATCCTATAAAGCTTTTAAATTATATAAACGTTGGTTAAGCAAGACAATACTGTAATATAACCAGTTACATAAAACAAAATAAATATAAGGAGAAATCGTTCTCAAACTTAACTTATTTTGTACTTCATTTACAGTTTTTATCTTATCGACTCTTTAATATTTTAAGAAGCATAGGATTTTCAGCTTGACCCAGGAAATACTATCTATGAAACTGTTGAATTGCCTATACTAATTATATTTGGTCTACTTCCATCAGAATAAATGTGTGCCGTTTGGAATTAAGATCATTCATTGGTATACCACAAAAGTAACCCTGTACACCATCATTTGAGAAAGCATGATAGGAGTATGACAATATTCTGTTCTTCTTTTAGCAATCTTGGCATGATTTTCTTCAAATAAATTCTGGGATCACTTTGAGGAAAGTCTTGGAGGACACAGGATCATATTGATGAAGCTTGAAATTTTGATTTAGCGATGTCTGCATTTCTGTCCTGTTATTCTAGTTTTAAATTCCCTATGGCATATGTGAATAATTTATCTTTTTTTTTTTTTTTGGTGGAACCACAGTTTGAACTCAGGGCTTCATGTTTGCAAAGCAGGCACTCTACCACTTGAACCACACCTCCAGCCATTTTGCTCTGGTTATTTTGGAGATGGGGTCTTGTAAACTATTTGCCTGGACTTGCCTCAAACTTTAATCCTCCTGATCTCAGCCTCCCAAGTAGCTAAGATTACAGGCATGAGCCACCAGTGCCCAGTTTTTATGTCTTTAGTTCTAAAGTGACTTTCTTGAAGGCATTATTGAGTCTTGTTTTGTTTTTATCCATTCAGTCTGTTTTTTTTTATCATTAGGCACTGTTATTTGAACTCAGGGCCTTGTGTTTGTTATGCAGGTGCTCAACCACAGACAGGTTGTATTTTTTAATTGGAAAATTTAGTCTATTTACATCTAAGATTATTATTAAGAAGTAAAGACTTGCTTTGTCATTTTGTTTATTTTATTCTGTTATGAATACTCTTTATTATTTGTTCTTCTCTTGTGAGTCTCTGTGGTTTGATTACCATATTGATAAGGCTTTAGTCTTCTTTATTTCTCTTTTGGGTATCTGCTGTTCCAGTGAGATTTATACTTCCATATGTTTTCATGATGATAGTTATCTTTCTTTCACTTCTCGATGTAGTACTCTCTAAAGCATCTTTTTTAAGGCAGCCTAGTGGTCATAAACCCCTGTAGTTTTTGCTCATCTTGTGTTACTCCTTCAGTCTTGTAGGAACATTGCGACTGTGGGTGTGATGTTCTTACTGTTAGTTATTTCCTTCAGGATGGGGACTATGTCATTGTGTTCCGTCCTGGTCTAATAGACCCTCGATGGAACTTGGTGCAGTTTCTACAATTGTTTCTTTGTCCTCTTCTTCTTACAGTTTGACTATAATATGGCATGAAGGAGATCTTTTCTGATCACATCTGTTTGGGGTTCTGTAAGCCTCTTATACCTGGATGTCCATGTCTTTCCCAACACTAGGGTCTTTTTTCTGCTGTTATTTCATGAATAGGTTTTCTGTGCCATTTACTGTTACCTCCTCATCTTCATATGGTCCAATGATAAAAGTCTGTGTTTGTTTAGTGGTGTCCCAAAAATCTTGAATGCTCTCTTCTTTTTCTATTCATTAATTTTTTTATCTGAATGTGACATTATAAAAGACTTTGTATTCAAGCTCAGATATTTTTTCTTCTGGTCTAGTCTTTGTTGAGACTTTTAACACAATTTTTGTGGTACTGGGGCTTTGAATTCAGGGTGCCACACTTACTAGGTGGGTACTCTACCACTTGAGCCACACACACCCCCAGCCCTGTTTTGCTTTTAGTTATTTTTCAGGCAGAGCCTTGAATTTTTGCTCAAGGCCAGCATCAGACCAAGATCCTCCTGTCTACAGCCTCACATGTAGCTGGGATCACAGATGCATGTCACTATGCCCAATTTACTGATTGAGATGGGGTCTTGCTAACTTTTTGCCTGGGCTAGCCTCAAACCATGATCTTCCCAATCTCTGCTTCCCAAGTAGCTGGGATTATCAGCATGAGCCACCATGTCCAGCCTCAACTGAATTTTGTATTTGATTTATTGAGCTCTTTTTCAAGATTTGATAGGTTCTTTTTCAGACTCTATCTCTGCTGAATTTCTCATTCATCTCATGTATTGTTTTTCTGATTTCATCCAGCTTGTCTGTATGTTCTTGAATCTTACTGAGTTTCTTTATAACAATTCTTTGTGTTCTTTAATCAGGTATTTTGTCAAGAAAGTTTTCGTGGGATTTGTTGCTAGAGAGTTAAATGTGTTTTGTTTTTTTCAGGCATCATGGTACCATGTTTTCTTGTGCTCTTATGTTGATATTTGCACACCTGGTGGATCTCTACCATTTATATGAGATGGTCTTCATAGTAAATGATTTTCAATATGTGTGTTGGGGTGTTGGCTTTGTTTCTAACTGGGATCTTTAGTGTAGTATCCTTGTAGCTTCTTTAGCTATAATTAATGACTATCAACACAGTGTGTGTTGTGGCAGTCAAAGAAACCAGTATCTCTGGGTACCACACAGGGTTGGGGACTTCCTGTGCCTCAGGCAAGTGTGGTTAGTACAGAGCAGTGAGTGAGGAGTACCCATTGTGTAACCACTCTAACAGTTGGAGTGGTGGTACCAGTTGGGTGATGGACATTTTCTCAGATACTGCTGAGGCAAGCTCCCTTGCTGGCCAGGCCTCTGGCACTGGCAGCCCCAGGAGCATGGGAGAGTGCTGAAGCACTTCAGACCAGTAAGTATTACAGGTACACCTTGCAGGGAGAGGTGACAAGGGGGAACCACAGTGCCTCATCTGTGGTACTCACTCCCCAGTGCAGCACCAGTGCAGGCCAAATCCACAGTGCTCTCTACTGGGTGATGGGAGAGGAGCACTTTCCCATACACAGTAAGGTGTGGAGAAAGCAGCTAGCAGGACTGTGCCTTGCCTTCAGTCCTAGTGTTAGTTCATGTCAATATGTGGCTGACCATGCCCTTCTTTCCAGTGAGCACATACCTTGGACTCCCAAGAACAGCTACTAGCTCTCCTTCTCCCTCTCGCTCTCCCTCCTTCCTCTCTCCTCTCTTGACTTGAATTTTCCCCAAACCATCTAATTCATTGTCCTGTCATTTTGGTATGATTATATTGTTAGCTAGCATTATTAAAGTTTGAAGTTGGGCATGGTGGCACATTTCTGTCATCCCAGCTATGTGGGAGACTGAGATCAGAGGATAGGGGTTCCAGGCCAGCCTGGGGCCCCATCTCATGGGGTGGTCATGGTGACATACACTGTCATCCCATCTACGGGAAGTATACACAGGAGGATCGTGGTCCAGGTCCAGGCCAACCTGGGAAAAAAAATCAAGACCCCCATCTCAAAATAACCAGAGCAAAAAGAGCTGGAGGTGTGGCTCCGTGGTAGAGCCCTACCTAGCAAGTGTGAAGCCCTGAGTTCAAACTTCAGAGTTACCAAAAAAAATCGACACTCATACTTATTCCTAAGTGCCAAATGGGAATGGAGTTGTGTGTTTGGGAGTAGGAAGAACCCATGTGAAATGCTCTGTAGTAGCTCAGCAAGAAATGAATACCTGGGCTAGGAGTGTGACTCAGCTGGTAGACACCTACCTACTAAGGAGAAGGCCCTGTGTTCAAATCCCCACACTGGCAAAAATAAAAGGAAGAAATGAATGCCCTCCAGTTGTCTGTATTTCGCCATAGTGACTAGGCTCCTCTACTTCTTAGGGCCTCCCCACAATAAGCTCCCCTATTACTTGCCTAGTCACTGATTATCTATATACCAGTCTACATTTCTACATGATTGCCCCCTAGCTGCAGAATTTCTGGAGCCTTGGATATTGGTAGCTCTATCTTCTGGGATTACAAAGAAAAAATTCTCTCCTCTGTCAGCAGAAAAAGATATTTTGGAATCCACACTGAGGATACCAAAGAGCTGGAGAAAGGGGTTGGTTAATACAATAGTAATACATAGCTTGCTGAAGGAAAAGAACCTCTAGAAAATATAAGACTGTCGGGTGTGGTGGTGCACACTAGTAATCCCAGCACTCAGGGCTGGGAGGCAGGAGAATCTCAAGTTTGTGACCACTCTGGGCTACATAGTAAGACTCTGTCTCCCAAAAAAGGGAGGAGAAGGAGTGGCATGCTGCTTAAGTGGCAGAATGCTTTTGAGGCCCTGAGTTCAAATCCCATTACTGCTTTAAAATACAAAGACCCTGAGGAACAGTTTCTGCTTCCATGGTGGTATCGTGTTCCTGTATCCTCTGGGCTGGACAAATGCTGTGTCCTCACAGGGCAGAAGGAACAGAAGCCTCTTTTATAGGGACATTAATCCTTTGTGTGAGAGCCCTCATGACTTGGTTACTTCCCCAACTGCCACATTTCTTACACTGTCAGATTAAGTATTAGGTTCCAATGTATGAATTTTGGAGAGACACGTACATTCGAACCCTAGCAGTTTTTAACCTTGTAGGAGAAATAAAATGTGTCTTTCATTCTTGTCTACAGTAGTGGCAACAGTTTTGATTCGTTAGAGGCTGGAAGGCAGGAAAAAGTGGTAGGAACTGCCTAAGTTCAAGGTCAGGACCTAGCTAGAGGGGTCAGAGAGCCTGACTCAAGTTTTGTTCTGAGGAGAGACAGTGACTAGACAAGGAAGGGGCAATCTGCAATCAAGTAAGAAAGCCCTCCCCAGAAACATTGATCCTGGACTTCCAGAACTGTGGGAAATTAATTTTACATGGTGTAAGGCACAGAGCCTGTTGTGTCTTGTTGTGGCAGTCTGAATAGTCTAATACATACTTAATTATATTATTATTGCCTATAAGGGGATATGCAAACTCCTCCATCTATTTCTCAGCCACCACATTCTCTCCTTCCCACTGTTCCAGTGCAGGCCATCAGTACCCCCTGACAAACCATCCAGCCTCCAATTTCTTCCACCTGTGTTCTGTCTTTAGCACACTACCACAATGATGTTGGAAACCAGCAAACCTACTCTTATTTTTCAAAGGCTTGCCATAACTCAGAAGAAAAAGGTCTTTCTCTTGCTGCTCTTCCTCTCGCTCTATTCTGGCTGTATCTGACTCTTGCTATCACCACATCTATATTTTGTCCTTCAAACTATCCATTCCAGGAGCCTGTTGTTTGCTGCTCCTCTTAGCAACTTCCAAGCCAAAGCCTCATATATTCCCAGCCTGCCTCTTTCTGACAAGGCATCATCTAGCAGCCAATATTAGCCAATCTAACTCCTTCATAACTGACACAAAAATACAGGTCTTCACACCAGATGCTAAGAAATAATACAAATCATACTGGACGTAAACACCTACAAAATTTATATTAAAAAGCAGCAGAGCCAGGCGCTTTGGCACATGCCTGTAATTCTAGCTACTTAGGAGGCAGAAAGGATCACGGTTTGAAGCCAGCCTGGACAAATAGTTCACAAGACCCTGTCTCGGAAAAAAAACAATGCAAAACAGGACTGGGAGAGTGGCTCAAATGGTAGAGCATCTGCCTAGCAAGAGTGAGGTCCTGAGTTCAAGCCCCAGTGCTGCCAAAAGAAATTTAAAATCCTCTCTGATTTTGACATACACAATTAAATGTTGTCAACCACAGCTACCATAGTGTGCAGCCGTAACAGAACACTTGCATAACTGCACTCCACAGTTTCAGTGTTTAATTTGGGAGGCCTAGTCTAATCCCCAGAGATCAGCGCAAGATCAGGAACCCAAATGAACAGAGCTCAGTGCGCGTGGGGAAGGCATAAATCTAACACCCACCACCCAGCCGAGGCCTTTTCTAAGAAGACTGGGCGGAGTCCTACCCTTAACCCCGCCCAGGACTAGGAGGATCCACGGCCAATGAAAGGAGCGGGGCGGGGCGGAGCCTGCGTGCGGCATGACGCCATCACGCTCCAGCGGGGCTCGGCGGGCCTGGTGGTTGCACCGTAGAGTCAGGAGGTGAGCGTGGTGTAAAGCGTGGGTTTTGGGGACAGAGGCGCTGCCGCGCAGGAGCCGGCAGAGCGAGTCGCGTCCTCACGGTTGTCCGGGGTGGGGGATGCGAATTACCCCGGTCTTCTCTAGCATGGCGTCGGTAGTAACTGATCCCAAAGCAGCCCCAGGTCAAGGTCTCCGATCCCCCGCCAAGGTCTCGCTTGCTCTGAGCCTTTGGAAATAGGCAGCCCGGAGGAATGGAGAGAAATAAAGGACATCAGTAATGGCCAGCATTTTGAGCGCCTTTTAGGTCAAATACTCCAAGTACTCCTGTGAGTTGGCCCTGTTGTGTTCCCGGTTTTCCAGGGGCTGAGAACTGGGGTTTGGAGAGATTAACGTTGCTGCACTGTGAACACTATGCAGATGGGAGATTGGGTCCGAAGGAAAGGCGGGACCCCTAAACGTCTTTGAACTGGTGATCCCAGAGAGATTACAGACGCAGTTTCCGAGCTGGTTCATTTGGCAAGTCATAGCCACCAGAATGATTTGTTTACTTACTTTGGTGGGAGAAGGATTTTGCGGGACTGGTGATCGAACCCAGAACTTCATGCATGCTAGGCAGGTGTTCTACCGCTCCCAGCCCAGAATGTTAAGCTTTGAGGTTTGTTTTTCAGGTGACCATAGCCACATAATGTCAGTAGTTCGCTCATCCGTCCATGCAAAATGGATCGTGGGGAAGGTGATTGGGACAGCAATGCAAAAAACCGCTAAAGTGAGAGTGACCAGGCTTGTTCTGGATCCCTACTTACTGAAGGTGAGCAGGAAAACATTTCTCTATCAGTAATAGAGCATCTGCTGTGAACCAGGCACTGGGCTGGTCTATGGGTATAATGTGGTTTATACACACATTCCAGGAACTTAGAGTTAATTTCAATTCCTTCTGATAAATGTTGCAGTCGTCCAGTATGCAAAGCACTATTGAAACATACGGGGCATTGGGATGGGGGTTAGAGGTAAGGGAATGGGTGAAGAGGCTGTTGTAAAAGTCTAGGAAGGAAATGAAAAGGACCTGAACTTAGTTGGAGCAGCAGAGATGGAGTGGGGAAAAGTAGATTACAGGAAGAAGGGACAGAGTCACTGATTTGTGCAAGAGAGGGAGGAGCAGGTGCCAGGTGGTTTCTGCTGTTGAAGTTGGGCTTACCATAGTAAGGAATTCTGTTCATTATCTAGAAATAAAGACACAGGAACAAGCCAAAGAAGGCCTGGTGATTGGCTTTAGAAGAGCTTAGTTTGAATAATGACCCTTGTTTATCAACTGTGCACCTTAACCTTCCTAAGCCTACTTTTCTGATCTGTAAAATAGTAATGCCTGATAATGCAGCGAGGTTGCTAGGAAAAGTAGGTGATTCATTTGCAAGGCTCTGAGCCAGCACAGAGCTAAGTCTTTCATACACATTATAACACTTAATTCTCTTGATAACTTTAGAGCTTCCTTTTAAGTGAAGAGGGAAAAAAACTGAGCTTAGAGTAGTTAAGTGACTCAAATATAGTGAGAGACTTACATGTTTATAGGCTAGAGAGAAGGCTTCCAGGCTGGCGGAGTGGCTCAAGTGGTAGAGCACCTGCCTAGCAAGTGTGAGGCCTTGAGTTCAAGTCCCAGTACTGCCAAAAAGAAAACACACACACACACATAGGAGAAGGCTTCCCTGGGAAGGAAAGGCATAGAGAGAGATGATAACTGATAGAGCAAGGGTACTGAAGGGAACGGCCTGGAGAGCCCAAGGACAAAATCAACTCTGGAAAAGTCATTGCCCTTTTGTAATTATGCAGCTGATTTTTGTACCAGAAGTTTCCTGAAGTCTCTGACCTTTTTCATGCCTTGGCTTGTTTTCTGTGCGGGGTTTGTTTTTGGTTTTGTTTTTTTCTTTTTTTTTGCAGTAGTGGGGTTTGAACTCACGTCTTATACCTTGAGCCACTCCACCAGCCCTTTTTCTTGTGTGATGGGTTTTCTTCGAGATAGAGTCTCATGAACTATTTCCCTGGGCTGGCTTCATACCTCTATCTTCCTGATCTCTAACTCCTGAGTAGCTGGGATTATAGGCGTTATAGGCGTGAGCTACCAGTGCCCGTGTTCTGTGCATTTCTTTTTCACAGTTTGTATAGCACTGCCATGCCACAGATGGAAGCTAGTGACTTGTTCCTCTCTTTCTCTGAACAGTATTTTAATAAGAGAAAAACCTACTTTGCTCACGATGCCCTTCAGCAGTGCACGGTTGGGGATATTGTGCTTCTCAAAGCTTTGCCTGTTCCACGAACAAAGCATGTGAAACACGAACTGGCTGAGATCATTTTCAAAGTTGGCAAAGTCATAGACCCAGTGACAGGAAAACCCTGTGCGGGAACCACCTACCTGGAGAGTCCAATCGGTTCAGAATCCACTCACCTGAGCAAAACACTGGAAGAACTCAATGTCTCTTCAGCATAGTGACGGACTGGAAGGAGTCAAGGGGAAAAGTTCATGTTTGTTTTATGCGGAAAAAAAAAAAGTTTTTTTTTTCTAAATGTTGGTGGTCATGTTTCTGAGTTTTCTTTTCAGTGAACATACCTTGATATTACACTAAGAGCACCCAGCCACCTGCTGCATTATTTGGTAAGCTTGCTGTTTTAGAAGGTATACTGCTTTATTTTTTCATGCAAAAGAGTTTTGAACTTACTTTATTTGTTGTGGGTGGGTTTTTTTTTTTGGCAGTACTGGGGTTTGAACTCAGGGCCTTTCATTTGCTAGGCAAGTACTCTTACCACTTGAGCCAGCACACAGAAAATATTTTTAATGGTATATATTCAGAGTAAGTTAAATTTTTTTTCTCTGATTTTACCACCTCCTAAGGAAAATAAACTGCTTGTGGCCAAACTTTGTCAGATTAAGCTATATTCATAGGAATGCTGATATATAGAAAATAAAATGTCTGAACTCTGTCATTTATATTGTGAGCTAGATTAAATAGGCATGAGTTGTTGAAATCTGACAGATTGATTAAATTGTAGGTCTTTAAGCTGGAGGTTTTTGAATTTTGTTAATAAACCATGATAACTTAGATTTTGACCTGAAGAACATGGAGCTACATACTCCAGTTTTCTGGCTTCTAGAAAGAGACTTGGGTGTATTTCATCCTCAGCAAATATGTGCGTTGTATAACACAAGGTTTTAATGATGACCAATGCTGGTGGCTCACGCCTGTAATCCCAGCTACTAAGGAGGCAGAGATCAGGAGGATTGAGGTTCAAAGCCAGTTGGGGCAAATAGTTCAAGAGACTTTATGTGGAAAAAACCCATCACAAAAGAAAAGGGGTGGTGGAGTGGCTCAAGTTGTAGGCCCTGAGTTCAAGCTCCAAGTACCACAAAAAAAAAAGACCTCAGGCATTGGTCATCAGAGCTCACATGGCAGGCAGGCATGGGTGCCTCGTGGCAAACTGGACCACATGGGTTGAGGGAGAGATTAACTTCCCAGCGGAGGTGAGACTGCTACCACTCAGTCTTGAAAGTCTCTAGGCTGAGAGGTGATGGTGGAGAGGGGCATTCCAGCCAGAGATTCAGGCATGTAAAGTCCTCAGAGTAACAGAAAGCATAACCAAGGTTCTGGAAGCCAGAGAAAGATTTCAAAGCATGATTCGATCACATTTGCATTTCAGTACAGGTTAAATAGCTTCAATGTAGAGAATGGGCAGGAAGAGGAAGAGGAGAGGCTGGAAGTTCAGAGGCTGGTCCTAAGGTGTAAACTAGTGTGGAGATGAGAGTAGTGCTGGAGTAGAACTACTGGTGTCAGGACAAGTGAGTGGAAGGGAAGCATCAGAAGGTGTTCAAGTCCCCTGCACATGGGGCTATGTAGTGCTTGTTAGCCTAGGAGGGTTCAGAGCATCACAGGCTGTCTGGAGAGGTTCTCCCAGCAAATGACACCTGTACCCCAACTCTGGGAAAGACTTCAAGCCACCTCTAAAATATTTTAATGTATCATTTTTATTTAAACAAAAATTTTGCTTGGGCTGGGAATGTGACTCAGTGGTAGAGGCTCACCTAGCAAGCACGGGGCCATATGTTCAATCCCCACTGCTGGGGAAAAAAAAAAATTCATGGAAATCTTGTGTAAAAATTATGATCTAGGTAGACTTACTGTGTTTATGTGAAATGAGAGTGCCCCTTTCCATCCCCGTAAAAAGCACTCAGTTAATGAACCTCCAGAGCAAAATGACAGTGAGGGGAAAATAAATAAATGGCCTAATATTAAATATTAAAAAAAGCAAAAACAGCAAAGAAATGTCTAGCTACCAAATTTAGCTACCTCACATTTCAGGAGACTAGAAAAGCTCTGTCTTAAAATAAGGCTGAGATAGGCCAGGCATGGTGGCACATAGGTGTAATCCCAGCACACCGGGGGCAGAGGGATTCGGAGTTCTTCCTGTCCCAGGGAGAGCCCCTCTGCCTGCTTTTTGGGTCTAAACAACCTCACTAAGCACATGAGCTAGTTGAGGTAGGGTACTCCACTGCCCTCCAAGTGACAAGTGCCCCTCCCCCTCTGAGGCAAATTCTCTTTGCTACCCTCCTCCATTTGCACAACCCACCCCTGTCTTGGGTGCTTCCTTGCCATATTAACGTTCAAGCTGCTCCAGCGAGGAAACGTCTGCACCACTCCTTCCTCTTACCAGTTTCAGAGAGCTCAGCCCGCTGCAGCTTGGCAGGGCTGCCTCCTCTCCTCCTGTCTAGCTCCTTTTCTGCCCACCTGGTCCGTAGCTCTTTTATCTTCCTATAGAATATACTTCCCCATGCTTTTGCTAAAGTTGTTTTCTTCTGCCAGGAATATTCTTTCCACTGGTCCACTCCTCCCCTCGGCACTGGGCTGCCATTAGTGCAGCAGGAACTGTTTCCTGGCTTCTGCCCCAAAACTTGCAGGCTCTCCCTTCTGGCAGACATGGCTTCTTTGTGCACCTCTGCACTCAGCACTTGACATACTGAAGTGTTACTTTATTAATTGTACAAAGCTGTTTTGCTATATATTTCTACATGAATATAATGTACTTTTATTGTATTCATCCCCTCTATTACTCTTCCTCATCCATCCTCCCCGCCAAGTGTTACTTTGTTGAAATGGTAATACATCCACAAGATCCAAAATTCAAAAGAGATTTGGGGAGAGGGTCGCCCTCCTACTTTCTACCGCTAGATCCTAATTCTCCTGGCAACAATGTTACTCTTGCGCATCTTCCCGGTGCCTTCACCCACGCCCCGTCCGTTCGTTGTATCCACCCGGTTCTGGACACTGAGCTGGAGACTCCCAATTGTCCCTTCTCCCCGCGCCCCGCCAGCCCGGGAACCCGTCTCGGCGCCGCGCTGCTCCCCCTGGCGGCGGCGACCCGCCCTGCAGCGGCCGCGCGTCCTGCCCCGCCCCGCCCCAGCCCGCCGGCCGGGCCGGGGGAGGGGTCGCGGCGGCGGCGGCGGCGTCACGGCGGCGCCCGGGCGGTGGGAGCCGAGGCTCCGGAGCAAGATGGCGACGCGAGTGCTGCGCGCCCGAGGAGCGGCGGCGGCGGCGGCAAGCGGTCTCCTGCGCCCGGCCGCCCCTGGCAGCCCCCTGCCCGGGCTCCGGTGAGCAGCGACGTCGTCTCCGGGCGCAGCTGGGGAGGGCGCGGGGCCGAGGGCGCGGGGTCGCGACCGGTTCCGCTCCGCCCCGGGCTGGGGGGCGGCGGGATCGCGGCGGCCGGAGCTTCGGCGGGCCGGGCCTGGCGCCTTCCGGTGATCGGGGCTCAAGGTCACAGCGGGGCCGGGCAGGGCGGGGCTGGACTGCGTCCGCCCGGCCTCGGGGCTGTGCCCGGCGAGCGCGGCCTAGACGCGGCCTGCGGCCCTGCCGACCGGAGCGGCGACACCTGCGCGCAGGCGGGGAAGAAACGAATTACCAGGACGGGGCGCGGAGCGACGGGCCCCGGCGCCCAGCAGCCTTGACTTGCATCCAGAAGTGTTGCTGACTGGATGCTTAAACTTTTCCCAACTTCGCTGGATTACACGTCAGGTGTCCGATCCATCACCTTGACACTTGAATTTATACATCCTAATTTACCCTTAGATTTGCTTTTGGTTTTTTGGCTTTTTCCTCTGGGTGATTTCAGTGTTGCCTTTTTGGTGGCAGTGGTTATTAATGAACCGCTAGAAAATGCAGTTGACATTTTAAAAGGAAAGCAACGAACTATCTGATAATCTCTCCTTCCCCCAGTGCTGAGGGTGGAGCCCAGTGTTAGACTCACTATAGGCCGGGGAGCTGTATATAATATGGCTTATTTAACTTAATCCTGGTTGCAGTCTTTTTTTTTTTTTTTTTTTTTGCTGTACCAGAGTTTGAACTCAGGGCCTCACACCTGCTAGGCAGGCTCTCTACCACTTGAGCCACTTCGCCCGCCGTTTTGTGTTGGGTATTTTCGAGATAGGTTCTCCTGAACTACTTGCCCAGGCTAGGTTGGAGCCACAGTCCTGATCTCTGCCTCCTGAGTAGCTAAAATTACATGCGTGAGCCACCAGCACCCGGCCTGGTTGCAGTTTTAACAAGTAAGACTAGCGTTTTTAGCAGATCGAAACTTGGAGAGGAAGAGAGGCAGAATTAGGAAAGTATTTGAACTAGGATGTGAGGCTTCAGGCCAAAGGCCTTTCCTAGGACTGATGCTTAGCTTGTACATCCAAATTACATACATTTGACCTTCCAAGTTGATTACAGAACAGCTTCCTTTTATTGTTACTGAGTATCTAGTGTGTGGCTTTTTTGCCTTTATTTTTTTCCTTCATACACAAGCAGTGTGAGTCCTTGAAGTTTGTTTTGTTCTTTGATCAACAGGCAGAAATTGTTTGCCTAGAATTCAAGGTCACAAAGTGAAGTAGAGGCCCAGTACCCTTTCTTTCTGCTGGGGCCAAAAGCTAGTGACACTGGAGTCCTATCTCCAACCTGTGGTTCTTTGGTAACTGTCTCAGGTCCCACTGTACTTTTTGACTACTACTGGGCCCCCAGTCTGCCTGACCTATAGACATTCTCCAGTACTCAACCTAAACTCAGCTAATTCACTAATTCTACCAAATATTGAAGTGCACGGTGTTCTTGAAGTGCTGTGGAACTGCATGGAATAGCCATGGTCACTGTCCCCAGCTGTGAAAGGTAAAACCCCTACAGCTTACAGATAAGATAGGTGCTATGAGAGAAGACCAAGGAACCCTGTAGCAGCTCATGACACCAAGAAGCCGAGACTGAAAGGGTAAGCATGTGAAAAAACCTTGAGTGGGAGTCAGGCATCCTGACCCACCCTAGAAAAGTTCAGGAGACTAGGTACAGGCACCATGGGAACTAGCTAGAGGAGAGGCAGCAAGGATCAGGGCTCAGCTCATTCCAGGCCCTGCAGGCCACCACAGAGAGAGCTTGGCATTTATTCTATGAGCCATAGAAGATAGTTAAAAGTATGAACTGGTGCGACATGATCTGATATGTAATTTTTAAAAATCAGTCTTCCTTTGGAGAAGGGGACAGAATCAAGGGTAAGGGGCCAGTGAGTGGACGCTGGTGATGTTTACTAAAAGTCATTTGTTCTGTAAATATGGCTACCCTGTGGCAGGCACCTCACTGTTGGGAAACATGGGTGAATAAAGTATACAGGCTGTCTATCTGGGAACTTGCTGGTAATTTAGAGCAGAGGAAGTGGGGGATAGGCAAGGGAGGGATGTGAAGAGATCTAGACTACTTAGAACCCTGTGAAGTTTGAGGTGGTTGTATGCTATTCACTTGAAAAAACAGTATGAGGTCCCCAGGAGATGTTTGGGCTGCAGGCAACGTGTGGGAGTTTTGTCAGCATGTAGGAACTTAAAGCTGATGGGTAACGTGGGTTTCATTTTACTGTTGTGTATTTGATTACAATTTTGTTTTTTGGGTTTTTTTTTGGTGCAACAGGGGTTTGAACTCAGGGCTTTGCACTTGCAAAACAGGTGCTCTACCACTGAGCCACACCTTCAGTCCATTTTGCTCTACTTATTTTGAAGATGGGGTCTTAGCCTCCCAAGTAGCTAGGATTACAGGCGCGAGCCACCAGCACCCAGCGCCCAGCTATAGGAATAGATGAGATGTTTTGAGGAGAGAGTATAGGTTAGCATTTACAGTCTGGATAAGTGGGGGCCAGAAAGGAAGAAGGGAAAGAGCAGCCAGCAAGGTTGTTATTGCCAGAGGGAAGATCCCAAGGAAGGAGTGCTCAGCTGTGCCAGAAACGCTGAAAGGTTAAGGGAGATGAGAGAACTGAGGTTGCCAGAAGGGTGCTAGCAGTGACCTTGCAGGGTGAGTTTCAGAAAGGAATGGGGGCTTCCTGGGCACCTCGTCCCTGTGTGTACATTTGCCAGCACATCTTACTCAGCATGGCTTGGTGCCAGGCCCAGAGTTCCCAGATGCTTACTGCACATTTGGTAAGTGTCCCACTGGGGCTGGAAATCCTGTGCACCCAAGATTTAACTCGTGGTCCTCTGACAAAGCCTGCTCCTCCTGGGTTCTCTCTCCCTTCCACTTAGTGACCCACACTGGAAAGGGCAAGGTCTTCCCCCAATCCATGCCTTCCCTCTTCCACCCATAGGTAGGTTGCCACATCTGTCAGTTCTGCCTCTAGCACATCTGGACTCCACCTTGTCCATCCCCAATGCCCTCAGTTCAGCCCTCAGCAACACTTACTTGTCTGGATTCCTGTGAAGAGTGTGGACTTGAACCTGTTGTTGAATGGGGCACCTAAAGACTTCTAAGGACTGGAGGTGTGGCTGAAGTGGTAGAACCTGGGAAGCCCTGAATTCAAATCCCAGTACTGAGAGGGCATTTTGCCTCTTAAATAAAGATCCCTATTACACAAACTATGGATCCTAATCCCACTTCTCTTCCTCCCCCAACTGCCCTGCCAAGAAAAGCTGTGCAAGATACTTGGAGGACAGTTGAGGACATTTGAATAGGGAAGGGATATTAGAGATTGTGAATTATTATCTTTCTTGGATGTAATCATGGCATTGTGGATTTGTTTTTTACTCTTAGGAGATACATGCTGAAGTATTTAGAGGAGAACTGTGTCTACATGGTTTTCAAATGGTTGTGTAAAAATTAAAAAGCAAATAGAAATTTAAAATGGTGACAGGGTGGTTTTTAAATCTAGATGCAGGGCACAGATTATTTTATTTCAGCTTCTCTGTGTTTGAAGTATTTCAAAATGAAACATGGGCAACAGGGTTCTATAGCAGCAGCGTATAAGTCAGGTTTACTGGGGTTGGTGGTGGGGAAGGGAGTCAGGTAGCTACAGCGTTAATGCAGGACTCCCTTGGGACAGGTTGTTCAGCCTCCACTCCCACTGGCCTGCTTCCTCATTGTGCAGCAAATGCACACTCCTGGCTTTGGCAGGTACTGGTTCTTAGAATGTCCTTCCTCCTATGGGGATCCACCTGCCAAATTTCTCCTCATTGTCAAGTCTTTAGCCCAACAGGTACTTCCTCAGACAGCTGCTCTCCATCTCTTCCAGGCTGACTTAGACCCCACAGCCTCCACCCCCACCTGACACAGCTACCACCTATGTCCTCATCAAACGCTTACCTCACTTTAGGCTGTGATCATGTTTCCCTGGGCCCACCAGCAAATGCAGCTGTTTGAAGTCAGGCCTGGGTTGATTCATCTTTGTGTTCCCAGCTGGCTCAGTGCCAGGCACATGCTGTGCAGTTTGTAAATATTTGAGGGTCAAGTGAAGGAAACTCACTGTGCTATTGCTGTCTTGTCCTGGGGTCTGAGTCTTAAATGTGTTCCCTTCTTCCATTTACTCTGCAAATCTTAGCACGATCTTCCACACTTGATCAGGACCTGTGTCTCACCCTGGGGATGGACCCAGGGCTTTGAGCATGCTAGGCATCACTCTACCACAGAGCTGTGTCTCCAGCCCCAGGAGCCTCTTCTGAATGTACACAAAAGAAGGGAACTCTACTGTCATCATCTTGGCCCTGCACCATCATTTGTGCCTGTTGCTGCTGGGCCTGGCAGCCAACAGGGAGCCAAGGAACAATGCTGCCTGCCTTTAGTGCCGCTGTCATCTGTCACTGCACTGCCAGGCTGGTTTGTACACTTTGAAAACTTGCTAGCATCTCACCATGTTCAGAATAAAGTCCAGCTAATGGTGCCTCCCATTCTCTCTCTGGCAACCTCCTACTCCCTGTTCTGCCTCACTGACCTCTGCAGTTACAGAATATGCCGTTCATTTTCATGACTCCATGCCCTGTACATGTTGTTCCCTTTGACTGGATTATCACCTGCATGTCCATCTGTTTGGCTTGTCCTCCAAGACCAAGCTGAAATGTCTCTACTGGAGTCCCTCCAGAATCCAAGCCAGTGATTCATTCCCTTGGGCTCTTGGAGTGAGTGAGTGTGTATGTGTGTCTGTCTGTCTACTTCCACAGCATCCACAATCACTCTAGCTGCTTACTGGTAGTATTTCCCAGGAGACTGAACAGGCTCAGCATCAGATTCAAGTTGATATCCATAGAGCCTAGCACATGTTTACTCTGCCTAGTATTCTGTACTGCTCCCTACCCTCTATAAAGTGCCACCCAATATA